TTAAACAGGTTCCGCAACTCACTTTGAATTTATTCATATAGTCTCAAAAAAATTTTTACCAGTTTTTCAAATTTTTAATTTTTTTAAACACTCCAGCATTTAAATGGCTGCCAGTCTGGAAAAGCGTGACGGAAGAAATATAGTATCTATACATACAATTGGTCTTGGTCATTGTGGTTGGCCTTGTGTCACTTACTGTGACAACGGTTTGCCATATGAAATTGTTTTTATATGTTTTTAAATCTGTATACTCGAGAACTAATAATTCAAGGCACCGTTGATTCTTGCTGCTCCGATGGCACGGTATTGCATTACACCACAGAGCCAGACACCGTTTTCTTTACTCTCAGTTGGCACGGTAGCATTACACCATACTGACGAGGAGCTCAACAGTGTTTGGGATATTTGAAAAAAACCACAGAGGTACCCGCGAAAAAGTGACGGAGCGGGGTCTTGAACCCGAGCCCTCCAGACGGAAGGCAAGCACTCTACTACTGAAGTCACTGTGAGCTCTATACATATAATTATTGAATGCCGGGAACCAATCTGACCATGTGCTTCAATGACTCGGGAATCAATTTGACATTTTGACCCTGCCTATCAGTGAAATTCTTGCCTGAGAACTAATTTGACATCTCCGATTTTAACCGTTAATATGGAAAAACTGTTTAAATTACTTACAGTGGTACATTCTTGTACTAATGGGGAGCCCATGGATCGAGAGTAGATAATGTATAACTGGCTAAAACAATTTCTTTTTATATTTTACGTAATTGAATAGCGCATCAAAAGTTTTAAAAATAGAGATAAAAATAAAGATTATGAAATTTTAAATTAGTGTCAGAGTGTCGAAGTCACTTGGTTAAAAATGTATAAAGAATGGATAAGATACTTTCAAATTATTAAAAAAAAAAAGTCATCTGAAGTATGCTCATTAATTGTGTATTTGTTTGTGTTCGAATGAACAAATTATCACGGGATTCGGTACGAGAAGACGCCAATTAGTTTCATATTTTATTTATTTCTGCGAATGGAATACTCCCGTAAAAAATATTTAAGTCAATGCTGTTACGATACAAAGAGTTTTTTGTTTAAGTGAAATAAACATTTTAACTAAAAATATATAAATAAAATATTTAAGATGAATACATCATTCATTTGAATGATTAAATTAATTATCTGTTCACTATTTTTTTTATGAGATATTACATAGTATTTATTTTAAACTGCTTCTTTTCCAATGAAATAAATATTCATGCAACTTAAATAAAAATTTTCTATGGTTATAGTTAGATTCATTGATGTTATGAACTATTTATTTGGTTAAATATAAGTTTTCTTATCTTAAAAAAAAGTCTTACTTTAATGAAATAAAATAGTTCATCGTTTACATCTGAATACGTTATTTATTTAAAAGAATAAATAATTTGTTTTTATGAATTTTCACAAATAATTGATTTGGTCTTGAAAGTTACTTATTTGACCAAACGAGATATTATAAGTATTATAAGTATTCCATAAAAGTTATTGATTTTCTGATTGAATATTCATTATACATTCGAAACACATAATATTCGAAATACATTTTTTACACCATTCATTATATTTATTGATGTAAGTAAGTATTGTTTTGATTCAACTTTATAGTTTTTCTTTTATAAAACAATGAATAATTTAAATTGAGTACAACAATTACATGCTTGTATTTTAACAAATAATACATTTTATAAGAAGAAATTACAAATCAACTATACAAGTCTACTGTTTCAAATAAATTATACATTTTCTTATTGATAGTTCCTTATTATTTTTGATTAATAGTTTCTCTCACACAAAGTTTTTACTGATAAAAAAAATCATTCACGGACAGTTATAAAATTTGTAATAGATCATTAGAACTGATTATTTAATTTAAATAAATAGAATTCAAGACATCTGAAAGGGGGCTAAGGAATCGTTAAAAATATACGGGGTGCAGGTGGTATCCCAATGCGGCTGCTGACTAAATTTTGTATCAAGACATATATAAAATAGTAATACATGTATAATGCATAATGTAAAAATGAGAAAGTGCATTTAGGAAAAGTAATATACGAATTTTCGGAATTAAACATTTTATTTCTCAACAAAAAATAACAGTAAGAACCTACTACAATAACTTCGAAATTATTTGAAACGCTTTGATACAATACATATTTAAAATATGTATAAAGTAATTACAACTTATTATCAAAGTGATAAATAGTATAAACAAAATTATGTATAAGAAGCAGGTACGTTACATTACTTACATACGATCTGCGATCGATTAATGGAGTAAATTGAGAATATGGCAAAAAAGTATTAGATATGCACTACAGCTACTACTTCGAAGCTTAATTATTACTTAATTTTAAAAAACTAAGATGGAAAGTATAATAAACGCACATTTCGGAAAAATGTTCCACTGCCCTTACATTTCACTTTGTTAGTGTATTTTTATTATTTTTTTTTTTTATTGAGTCAGTGAGTAATAATTAGTTAAAAAAAATTTTTTTTTTTCACAAAATATATGTAGAGGTTTGAATACAATTTTAGATGAGATCTATTATTTTACATACTTTGTGGATACTACTCGTTTAACTAGATATTAATAACTGACGAGAAAAATATAACATGATGGAAAAATAAGTATTTTTTTTAACAAGTACATCTTTTTCTTCAACGCTTCTCCATAAATGTAACATTTTGCCTGAAAACGATATATTTGTGAAATTTTTGTTTACTAAGCACAAATTTTTACTGCTAATCCAGATTGAAATCTTCACTTTCAATCCACTTTCAATCAGTATATAAAAAAAAACTGGGCGTGGCAAAAGGCAACGATTGCAAAATATTACATGCGTAGCTTTTAAAACAATATTTAAAAAAAAAAGTTAAATAAATCGTAACAAATAAAGAAACATATTGTTTTATAAAAACTGAAAATTAGGCTTGTCGAATAACAAACAATGCAAATGCACTTTGCAAATGAGATGCCTTCTCTATCCTTCAAAAAACAAAAAATTAGAAAAAAATAAGTAAGTAAAATGAGAAAGAAAAAAAGTAGAAATGTGTCTTTTTCAATTGCTTTTCCTTCCTTTGTTGTTTGTCTCAAAACGTAAATTAATCGGATACGCTTTTAAATGATATAATAGCCTCAACGCGCCGACAATACTTGTCGGATGATTCTCTGCTTTGGTATTCCTTTGCACGTCGTGCCTTTGCATTTCTGGAAAAAATCAAATACATGTGAGCGCCGTAAATGGTACAATGATATAATTCTCTCTCTTCTTGTTTGCTCTCGGCAAGAGTGATTACGTTATTCTTCGACAAAATAAATAACGCGTTTTATTTTCCTTAGTTACCTACAGTTTACGGTATAAAAGTAGAAAAGATATATGGATCTTTATATATTCTTACAGGTATTGTAGTTATTACGAATTTTAAAAAACTTTATACTACGTGAAGTTTAATGCGGATCGTTAAAATTGCTTATATCGCGCGACTTTCGAATTCAGAATCGATCAGTACAAAATAGAAACTTTTTTGCCAATGTTGATTGTCCATAAATCAACGAGTAAAGTACCTCAACTCCAATGATATCTTTGTCTTGACACTTTTGTACGCGATTTATTGAAGTTAATTACATCGTGAGGCCATAAAATTTTCAATCGATTCTGATTCCTGGCGTACTTCTCATCAACTACAGCTAGCATAGGCGGTGCAGTCTACACTGATAAGTCGCTCGTGAAAAAATTTGAGCGCAGCAATGACCATTTGCGATGTGTATATCGTTTTAAAAAGTTATATTTCTTTAGCACAACTTACAAGGGCTTTTTCATGCCTCAACTAGAATTACGGCAGACCACGACACTGATATGATTGCTTTCGAGAAAAATTTTCAGTCTACTAAGCTTAGTTTATTCATATATCCGTCAGGCGATATACAAGATACAGGTTTGTAATGCATATAATAAATGTAGCATTGTTTTGAAATTTTTTTTTATNTTTTTTTATTCGTGGACAAATATTTACTATCCATTGCGGTTAGCTTAATAAGTGTTATCATCAAACTCAATCAAAAATAATTGCGAAAACCATTATAAAAAGCACTTTTTTCGGTGTCCGATTTCCGTATTAAAGATTAAAAAATTTTACTTGTTAATAAAAAGTTTCATGATAAAAGAAGTCCAGACAAAGAGGTTGAGCTTTAAAAAATCGTTCTGCGATAATTTCTCGGTTTAGAGGAAAGTTTTTACGAAAATTTTTTTTTTTTTTTTTTTTCAAAAGACACGCTCAACGTACTGGGAACATTGTTCTGACACACAAATGTGTGACACTATAATTGCACTTTCTTTCAATCGTTTTTTGGCGAGTGAAATTAATGTATTTCGATGCGCATACAAAAAGTGTCCCTTCTTGGTGTCAGTTTCGAACGCTAACTTGGCCATTGCAACCTTAAAATCTACGATCACGTGTTACGGTGCTTATGTTGTTTTTGTCCGACAATTTAGAAAACCACAGCTGCTAAGCTATGGGTTTGAGAATTGCCGGATCAAGTAAGCTCAGTTAACATTTACGGTGTGTATACAACAAAATAAAATGAGGTGCCCTTCATAGCGTGTGTGCACTAGTGAATTGCATGTAAATACGCGCGCGCTGTACGTAACTTCGAAGGGAACCATCGATGCGTCCCTTCCTGCGCTTTCCCTTAACCAGCAGAGGAAACCATCGCCTCGCATCTTATTATCTTACCTCGCGAACGCAAAACTTCCACCTCGTGACAAAAACAAAAGAAAAAGAGCATAGTGGTGCGGCGGCTTTGTACGCCCAGTCTCGAAAATCTAAGCGCAGTGTCGGTATCTTCTTTCACCGCGCGACATCACCCGAGAGCGTTTAGTTCTCACAGCCGCGGCCGCCTTATCCTGCCCCGAACAAAGAGCCAATTTTTCGTTTATCTCCCACCCTCCCTCCCTCTCTCTTGCATTCTCTTACGCAACTGCAAGGCCCAGCTACGTCGTAGAATGGCAAATCGGAAATTTTTACGCCGGCCGGAGACACCGTGTAATATATACACACACGTCGATCGGCGAACAAAAGTATGTACCAGTCGCGCGCGTGAAATACAATGGCAGGGCTGTGGATGTCGAACAAAGTATATGCTCTGCAGCGAGAAATGTTATCATGTACCCCGCGTACGTGTATACACGGAGACAACGATCGATCGAGGATTAGTTAACTCTGAGAAGTGGTGTGTGCTTTCGACGCTTTTCCAACATATTTCCGGACCTGAGTACAAACTTACGTCCACACCATACGCTAAATAATAATATTTTATGGTCCGTACACGCATACTACGAGGCATAATTCTATATGGCAGTTGTGTCATCGAGAAATAAATGACGCGGCAATAAACGTGTACCGATACGCTACTGTTCCACGTGAACCTCCCCCGTCATAACATCGCTCCTTCGAAATCCCGTGAAGATGTCCAACTCTCCTTTTTCCCCTTTAGCTGCCCGTCGAGCGTTCCTATACGTTTTACGTAACTCGAAATGTGTGTGTGTGTGTGTGTGTGTGTGTGTGTGTGTGTGTGCTCGAAACAAGCGATCTATACGGTGCAAGCGCGAGCTCACGTACAAGTTATATGGCAACTCGAGCCCAACACCGCGACTTTAATTCGTTCGGAGCTAGTAGCGTAATTTCCTGCTCGTGCGATCGGCCAACCGATGCCTCATTGTTAACGAGTAGCTTCCTTTCGCTACATCCGAGGCGTGATCCACAAGTACACGTAACGCGCTCGCAACAGAGAGGGGGTGTATGACAAAGTTCAACAAACGTCCAAGCAAAGCGGCTGGCTCGTTTTTTCGCAAGCCAACTTGATTACATCCGATCGACCGGTCAGTCGATCGATACCCAAGAGAGAGAGAGAGAGAGAGAGACACCGGGTGCTCCATCCGTGGATCCTTAAGCGCTTGCTTTCCTACGTACACGTGTATGCGAGTGCGAAGAGAAGGAACAAGTGCCGGTGGGCTGGGTGGGCGAGATTGTCGTGAGGTGAGAAAAGAGAGAGAGAGAAGAAAAGAGTTGACAAGAGAGTCGAGTGAGCGCTCGAGATAGACGGAGCACAGTGTGCGGTACGTGAGAGAGGAGCGAGAGAGGAGCTAGCGAGCAGATAGTGACTTGGGTGTCGAGGGGCTGCGGTACTTGGCCCTTATGTGCAGAAAGTCGCTGCTGTGGTGCTTGGCTGGGGTGCTGGTTAACGGATGCGAGAACGGTGTCGGGGTGCTCTCGCGGCTCAGGACCCTCACCTGGCAGGGGTCGTGCCTCGTCAGGAAGTGCTCCAGGGTGTCCCAGCCGCCACCCACGCGCACCATCACGTGCGTGTCCTTCAGTACCTGCGAACGCATCGTTGTTATTCACCTTGGGCACTTTTTTTCTATTTTTTTTTTCTTTTTTTTTTTTTTTCCTTNTTTTTTTTTTTTTTTTTTTTTTTTTTTTTTGCTCATAGTACAAAGACCTTAATGAGGTGAACAAAGTTTACTTTGCACCAGATGGTTGTACTATGATTTTTTTTTATTCGTGGACAAATATTTACTATCCATTGCGGTTAGCTTAATAAGTGTTATCATCAAACTCAATCAAAAATAATTGCGAAAACCATTATAAAAAGCACTTTTTTCGGTGTCCGATTTCCGTATTAAAGATTAAAAAATTTTACTTGTTAATAAAAAGTTTCATGATAAAAGAAGTCCAGACAAAGAGGTTGAGCTTTAAAAAATCGTTCTGCGATAATTTCTCGGTTTAGAGGAAAGTTTTTACGAAAATTTTTTTTTTTTTTTTTCGAAAAACACGATATTTCAAAATGTTTTTAATGTTTTTTGCTGAAAAAATTACTGGAGGTTTGTGAACATGTAACTCATAATTTCACTACGTATCATCTTTAAATTCACGAAAGAAAATGTCATTAACAAATAAAAAAACGACTATTTTTGCTGATTTTTCAAGTTTTCTCAGTGCCAACGCATTCGGATTCAATTTTCCGGACGAAAGTCCATATATATTTTTTAAGATGTACAACTTTGTTATTTAACTGCTTTGCATTCGAGATCAACTTTGTATTTTCTTTTTTCGACAATTCCGTATTGATTAGGTAAACTTTTGCATCGATTTGCCGTAAAAATAAAAAACTTTGTTTCTTGGATTGTTTTCCTTTGAATTAACGTATTCTTCGTTTTCTGATAACAATTATGTCATCGGATTAATAGTACGATGGCAATGATGTACAAGACACAGTGGAGTAATGGAATAGGACTCACCCTTATGAAAACGCCGCGGCCAGCAATGTTGTAGCGGCCCTCCCCCACCTTCCTGACTTTGAGCCTGATGCACTTGCTGGACGGGCACTGGCAGAACTTTTGTACAGCTTCGGTAGCCCTCTTCACCTGCAGAGACAAGATTTGTACAAACATCGCAAGGGCTAAACGAGCGCGTTGGGTAAACACTTGGTATTATCGTGGAGCGAAAAAAAAAAGATTCACGAAGATGGAAAACGTATTTCACCGAGACGCGAATTTTTCAAGCGAGCTGTATTCATGCTAGAGAAACGAGGGACTGCATCATAGTGGGTGCACGTATATGACAACATGCATGTACGTCGTACAGTCTTTTCCTCTTGTCTTTGTACCTACTTGGTTATGCGTAAGGCCCCGCGTTCGTTCGTTCGTGGGACGCCAAGTGCATGCAGAGAAGTACAGGGTTTACGTCCCCACGCCGGCAGTGCATAACTAATATTTTATTCGTCGGTTATAAGTGCTACGCGCGCCGAGAGATCCGTACGACAATGTGGAGTATCACGACGAGTGGAAGGAATAACTCCACCATTCATGATGCCGCGTTACCGTGTTGTTCACTTCGGACGTGGTAATACCTACCTTCGCTGAAGCGAGTACGTAGGTATTTTTTATATTTTTCATTTTCCAAAGCTAAAGGGTAAAAAATACAGAGAAAAAGCACTCGTTCGAGTTCTACGTAAGAGAGATGTGAGAAAATCCACAAAAAATATCCCGTTTTTGTCTTTCACCTTGATTCACCCTTCAAACTGAGCTTATTTTATCTCGTTTCATTCGTAATGTCATGTAATATAAGGAAAACATTGTGAACGCGGTTGTCAGTGAAGGTGACATCCTTTTTTTGCGATTTATGGGTTAACATTATATTTATACGTTTCATATTTATATGGACGTAATTTTAACATGAAAATCGCGGTAAAAGGGTCTCACTCTCACTGAATTCCGTGCTAAAAATTTTTTCCTCATAGTACATGACATTAAGAGTAAAATGAGCCCTATTTCTAAGGTGTGCCTAAAAAAAAGTGTTTTGGGAGAAGAGTGGGAGCATACGACTTGCCATCTTGGCGTAAGTACAATCAGTCCCACCGCGGTGTATTTTTGTGCGGATGTATGAAATAATGAAAAGAAAATGAAAAAATGAATCTTTGGCAACCTTCCGATCGAGCTCCGTGATGGGTCCGTGGTGCTCGGGCGGCTCGGCCGAGGAGGGCGAGGGAGAGCTCGTGAGCGAGATGGCCTCGTCGGGGTCCTCGGCGCTACCGCGCGACCAGTCGTCCTCCGTCGTGTCGCTGTGCACGCCATCGCTGCCGCCGCCACTGGTGGGCCCGTTGTCGCTGATCGAACGTCGCATTTCTGGCTCCCGCGTCTCCAGCGTCGTGTCTGGGTCCAGCCAACGCGAGTCTGTTGTCGACATTTCCACTGCCGAGCTGTCGGACGAGAGAGACTTCTTGAGTTTGTTTCATCATCAAAAGTCAAAACGATTGTATATTGTATTTTAAGACAGCAGTCGTGACAATTGCGAGGACAATTGTGTGCTGGTACTGTGCGTCTTTCGCCTCGATGCCAAACACAGAAGTGAACAGTCAAAAATTGTGAAAAAGGGTACACATCGTTATAAATCATAGAATTTGTTAACTGTTTACTCTCGTATTTGCGTTGATGTTGAGTGAAGTTTGTTTCCATGTGAACGTTAGGCTAGCTCTATGTTGATTTGGTTCCGTATTTAGTTTCGAATGTACATTAAATAGCGAACAAATTACAAAGTAAAAAACGATCATGTTCGAATGCGCCTTACTAATGAGAGGAATGAGTATACCTATGTACCGTAAAATCCAAGTGTGTTAATATACATGTTTAAATCCTGTAATCCAAATTTCTGTTATTTATAAAATGCATTGCAGTAATATTGAGAAATTTTTTTAGAAAAACTAAATTGATGCTTCGTAAACTATTTCACTTACATCCTATTAAGGAGGTTTGAGGGTAATAATAAAATGCAGAGATCACAATGATATTCAGTTTTCTATAGATAGTATAGAATACGTAGAACTTATATGAATTTTTTCAATATTTGTTATAGGTCATTTAAAAAAAATTATTTAAATGAAAATCATGCGATAAACATAGGCTCTTATGGAACGTAATCTCAATTTTGATATTTACATGAACAAAAATTTTTGGAGAATGCAAAGATACTGAGAAAAAATCCACTTATAAGTTAGTTGCTTAGTAATTCTGTAGGAAACATTTTGAAGTACGTTATAGTGCATTTTAATCAAACGTAAATAAAATATTGAGTTAGTTGCAAGGTTAGTTGGGTGCAAGAGGGGGTGCGTGGTAAAGGGGGCCAAGCTGATGTGTGGGCAGGGGGACTCCCCTTGAGTGATACTCCCAAACCTCTTATAAGGGCATTCAGTATATCGACCGGAGTTTCTACTTTACCAACTTCCCTATTTTGATGAATTATTGTTGATAACTAATTATCTAGCTGTTTAAACCCAAAATAACGAGAAGAGCCGTTAAGCTGGTACTTTGAGGATTCAATATTAGAGCCCAAATTCAACGCAATCCGTTGCGTATTGAGAGAGAAAAGTTACATTTCATGATCACGAAATAGTGTTTCAATGTGCATAATCTGAAATGTAACTTTTTTCAAAAAGTAATGCATTGAATTATCTAAAAGTTGAACTGAGCCTCTAAACTAAAAAAGTAAACGCGGCTCTTCTCGTAGTTTTGCCATTATTGAGTTTTAAAAATGGGTATTTATCGTAAACGGCATTCCATAACCTATAAATCTGCATACACTGAGCAAGTTCATAATTTTAACTGTATATTTTCCAAAACCATAAGAGGACCGGTGTTTGTCTATTTATTTTAGAGGCTCTGTCAAAATTTCAGATAACTCAATGCATTACTTTTTGAAAAAAGTTACATTTCAGATTATGCACATTGAAACACTCTTTCGTGACCATGAAATGTAACTTTTCTCTCTCAATACACAACGGATTGCATTGAATTTGGGCTCTAATATTGAATCCTCAAAGTACCAGCTTGACGGCTCTTCTCGTTATTTTGGGTTTAAACAGCTAGATAATTAGTTATTAACAATAATTCATCAAAATAGGGAAGATGGTAAAGTAGAAACTCCGGCCGATATACTGAACGCCCTTTTTTTCTTCAATAATTGTAACAAGGCTGTAGAAAGTAAAAACTTTGCTCACATATTTTATGCACTTGTTAGCATGTTAAATCTGCGACAGGCACGTTTTTTCACTCAAATCGGTTTTTCCCTATCAAAAGTATCCAGCTTAGAAGAACTGATTAACCACACTTGGTGCACCTTGATTTGGTTGTCTTTCGAATTGTTATTAACGCCACCACAATGTACTTTTCCGCCTTCTAATCTCAAAATAGTACCTTCGCCGCTTGATTTTGGGTTATCAGGCGGAAAAATAGTATACGAAACTCGTTCGAAAAGGCTTCTTTACGAACCTCGTTATGGCCCTCGCCTTCGGCTCGTGCCGTAAACCTCTCGGTTCGTTAATCGAAGCCTTTGCAAACTCGTACGCAATATACTATAACAGAAAACAAAAACTTTAACAACACACTTTAAACGTGTACTTTCTCACGCTTCGATTTACAGTGATGAGGAAAAAATACTGATCTCGATATATTTTATCATATACGATTTTTTACAGCGACTCATTGCTAATGTACCATACATTACCCCCTACAGAAATGTAGATAATGCAAAGACAAAGTTTTCTCCATCCGTAATAAAACATACGAAGTATCGAGTACTTGTTTTGACTTGCGAATTGCGTAAGTCGTCTTTTCTTTTATTTGTACAAGACGGTGCATTTCCTGCCCACTAATAAGTGCAAAACGGAAATTCGCCACGTGTCACGCCTCATTTGCAATGACGTAATGTCCGTGCAATTACATGCACGACATACACAAAAATTTAATTGTAGGCCTCACAGACCTTTATTTGCAATTCAAAGATAAAGCAGGACCACCTGAAAAGAAAGTATTCTAATGAGCTAAGGGGGCCAAATCTAAATGCGCAATGTACGTGACTCCCTTATTAGTCTTGAGGGCAGTTTACTCTGATACATAATTTAAATTTAAAAATCAGATTTGTGCTTGTACGACACTATGTTGCTTACTCTAAGAAAAAGAAAACTGTATTATTGCGAAGAATTAAAAAATAGAATATTGAATTTTTCTTTATACATAAGCAATATTTTTAAAAATCAATTAGTATCTTATAAATATGAGGTGTCGATGCTATGTGTAGCAAGAATGAAGATAAATGTTTTTGATATCACTTTTCTGAATTGCCTAGTCAAAATTAATGTAATAATGTTTTAACCCTACGAATCACTATAAGAAAATTCTGATTTTTGAGACTGTTTAAACTAATGGAAATGACATCTACGTCATCGATCTTTGTACCTTTTTGTCTTTCAAGTTCTACTTAGATGATTCCATTTTGCTGTTTCCAAGTTTCAAGTTATCCAATATCGCTACGTGAACACGGTAGAGTTCTATTTTTCGATCGTCTACATAATTTGAAAGAAGATTTTTTTTTCATTTATGTGCGGTACGAGGTTTTCCAAGATTGCTAATCACGATTGTCAAAATGAAAAAATATTAAAATGGATGATTAGCATTGACTATAATTTTAAGTGATAAATAACGAAAAATACTGATATTGCAGACATTCTGCTTATATTATGGTGATGAGAGCTTTCCGTCTATAAAATAAGTGTTGTAGTATTTGTTTCTCAACGAAAAAAAAAAAAAAAAAATAGCTGAGGTCCTCCTGATATTAGATACAAATTTACTTCAGATGGACAGGATAGTGGGTGAGCATTCGCATTGGGAGAAGTAATGCATTTTTATTTTCCGTGCGATGAATGACAAAAAAAAAAAAAAAAAAAAAAAAAACACAGTCTAAGTCTAAATTAAGAACACCTGCTGCGAACTACAAAAGTAAAGAAAACTGACGGAGAATAGGGCGCTGAGCTCGCGCTTTTGTCTGTAGACGACGTTGGTGCTCTGAAATTTTCTCCTACTCATCAGAAAGTTCAAGTAATACAATGAACCCTCGCTGCTCTATCTCTCCATTCCTTTTTTTATCTCCCATCAAAAATCAATGCCTTAGTAAAGGTAACAACTAGCTCACGATTGAAATGAAAAAAACAATATTTAGGTTAAAGAAGTAGTTGAGCCAAAGAATTTTTTTTTTTTTTCAAGTTTTGAGTGACTTGAGTGAATAATGTCAACAAGTCATGAGGCGTTGGATTTATCAAATGATTATATGCACAGTTTGGTGCTAAAAAAGAAACATGGTCTTTGTTTTTCATCAAATTACCGATATCATGTCCAAGGAGCGATACAAACAATAAACAGTTATGCGAAGCAGCGGTCCAGTGACAAAGGAGCCATAGGACTGCCACAAAAAAGTTAAAGGAAAAAAATGTATTCTCAAAGTTTGCTGCTTCTTTAACCAATTAGTCGACATACTATTTATAGTTTAGGATTGCAAGTACCACGCTATACACCTATAGATGAGATACAGTACCTGCTGTGCTTCATGTTATTGTCTGCGGGCGACGAGTCGGGAGAGGGCGACTGTAGCTGCCACGACGAGACGAGGCTACTGTGCGAGATGCCGCTGTCCGAGAGGCACTGGCGGTCGCGCTCCTGCTCCTCTTCTATTTCGCGCTCCAGCTTGACGAGGCCAGGTGGGTCGAGCGAGTACCGGGCCGCTATCCGGGCTACCTCCAACAAACATAGCACCACGTTGCGCGGCTGTCCGTGTAGCACTGCAAGGGTTGAGGGAATTATACATTAGTACACTCACTGGAAGGATTACCTGCAGTCAACAAGTCATTTAACAACCATCATTCTAAGCTTACGATTAACGACAAATGAATGTTTGTTGACAGTTATGTTGCCGTGACTTAGGTACAGTTAATTAACGTGTATTTTGTGTCATAACCATTTTCTTTTGTTGAACAATTGATTTATTAACGATTCAGGACTTGCTTATACTTAAATCCATATTCACTAAGAGTTAATGACGGTGGGTTACGTAGAATCTTTTCTACCAGCATGTTGATTAATTTTTTTTTGTTATAGTTCAACTGCTGTCGTTTCCTCGTCATCAATAGCACATTTTGGCTGTGATAATTCTGTGGAAAATGAGTGTGTGAAGCGTTTGCAAGCGTTTGTGTGAAAGTTTATCAAGAAGCAAGTTTTACTGTTTAATCAGCCATTCTTGACACAGTATTGTTATCATTGTCTTCGAAGAAGGGATTGCATTGGTTTTTATAGAATCCCTACGAGTTTCAAAAATAGGGGGTAATGAAAGGACAAAATAAGTTTAACTTTTCGAAAATTCCAAACAAACTTTTTACTGGTGAAGGACGTTTGATATTTCTAAACTTTTAAATGAGGATCTTTTTTTTTTAGGTGAATGAGGAAAAACGATTCTTGTTTGGACAGGATTAATGGAAAACTAAAACATCTAGGAAATTGCTTTGAATTTTTTAACAATATGCTAATGAGAATTCTCTGGAGTTCCAGGGAGTTCAACATTATCCAACTTTTTCGCGATGATTGCAGTTTTGTATTACCAAGGAAACCATATTTTAAACTTTCACGCGAAGTGTGCAACATTTCCTTCACAACTGATGAAGAATGATTGGAAAACGTACAACGTACTTTAAAGAAATTCTCATCGAAATTCCGCTTAGAGGTGAAGAGAACAATAAAACTTCGGTTCATCACTTTTTTTTTCATCGCTTAAAAATTACCACACATGCATTTTCCGCGTCTCGTGAATACCGTATACTTGAATCGACAACAAAAATAATTCCTCCAACTCCCGGATTCTCGATCGGCTTTGAACACAAAACAAAGCAAAGCCAGTACATCAATTAAAAGAGAGAAAAAAAAAAAAAAAAAAAAAAAAAAAAAAAAAAAAAAANAAAAAAAAAAAAAAAAAAAAAAAAAAAAAAAAAAAAAAAAAAAAAAAAAGTAAAAAAATCCACTGGCAGAATCGGCTCGATACTCAATCCCAACCACCGCCGTCACCTCGAGCGATATGGGTCGCACGTATGTATAAAATTTCATCGATCGGCTCCTCGTCCCTCATCTCCCTTTAAACCTCTACAATGCTGACGACACAAAGTAGGTTGCCCAGCTAGACGACGCCGCTGTCACCGGATACGTACACCCACCAGCGCAAGAGTCGGCTCTGCAGCTCTTTTATTCATCCCCGCGCGAGGGAGACAAAAAAAACGACAAGAGAAGAGACGAGAATCGCTAGGCGATCTGTAGCACGGGGTGCGGCTCTTTGGTCTGGAGCTCTCTCGCGGGACATATGTCTCTTCATCGCGCGCGCAAGCTGCTCGTTATGGGTTTGCTTTATTTGTTACATGTGCTTGTAGATGTACCTGTTTGGCACATGTACACAAGTGCCGTGAGCTTTAAGGACTACCGAGTCAGCTGAGCAAGCTCCGTTTGTCTTTGTGCTCGAGGCCATGGACTATGATGGGTCGCAAGTCCTCCTCGATAGCCATTGCCGTATTTTAACGTTAAATGGGCTTTTGGGGCTTGCTCTCTTGCTCCTGAGACAAAGGGAACAAAGCGATTTAATCTTTGTCTCTTTCTGCTCTTCGTTGGAAGAATAAAAAGTTTAATTGAAGCTCGTACTCGAGAGTTATTAGTTTTCATGAAGCTGTTTGAAAAGTTTATGTTTCTATTTTAACATTTGTTGAACACTTGCTTAGCACGTAGTAGCAACTTTTGCTTGCTTGCTGCTTGGATTGATGACGCTTTTACACTTTACTTTATTGGTTTTGGGAACTTGCAGTTGCAAGTAAAACCTTAAAAACAGTTAGGTTTGTTGTTAATTTTTTATTTTTCTCATTGAAGGATTTTTTTGCCAAACAGTTACAAGTTTGACTAAGAGCTTTAAACTAACGTTGAATAAACTAAGTACAGCATTCACATTCAAAATGGAAGTCTTTTAAGACGAAAAAAAAGACAATAACCACGGAAAAGACAAAAACTCACCCAAATCGTCACTTTCGAAGAGTAGATTCTCGTGTACGCCCAGCCGCCGGCAGAACTGTATGAAGTTTTCCATATTGTCTCTGGAGAAGAACGTGCGCCGCGCGGCATTCTCCCAACAGCGACCCCGAAGCACTGGTGCAGGCTGAAACAAAAGCGAGAGAGAAATGAAAAAAAAGGCTTGAGGCACCCCTCCGTCAAGAGCACAATTAGGTTGGAGCTTATTGTTCTTTGAGCCCTTCGGGTGTGCCTTTGCGAAGCCAGCACGAGTTCACGACAAACAGAAGTTGGGCAAATAGACATGTGGCGTAATAGGGACTGTGCACACTTGCACATGTATACGTATAAATAAATGGCCTATCAGAATTCCGTTTGATTGTATTGATTAAATGCGGAAACAGAAAATCCGTAGCATATGCATTGGTAGAGGGCTATTTTTGCTTTTAAACTTCAATAGTAGGGAAGGATTTATGAAGAATGTAAAATTCACATTCAAGTTGCTATAACTTTAACTTTACTTCAATAGTAACGAAAAGTCAAAAAGTATGTCTTTTAGTGATGCTATTTTTTTTTTTTTTTTTTTTTTTTTTTTTTCATAAAACAAAGATAAGTTGTTTGCATGGCCCCTGAAAACAAAGATAATTTGTTGGCAAGGTAAGAATCACCATTTTTGCTACAGTACAAATCACGGAAGCATGAAGAGTAGTAAGGAACAACTGCGTTTTTCAGAAAACTTTAAAGCAATCCAAAGTTTGATTACAATAAAAAATACTTTTTTTTTAAGAAATCAAAATTTTTATCGAAAAGTGTTTGGAAAACAATGTTTTTCAATTTGGTACACCACAGTTTTTTAAGAAGCCTTTTACATACTATATAAAATTTCAGAGAAATAAAATACTCGAAGGAACCAAAAAAATATCGTTAACCCTATTCAGATACGACTTAAAATGGATGAGACATTACAATTCGACATAAACTATTATTAACTTAAATCTTCGTTTATTAAAGCTCTGATGTATAAACTTTATTTTAGTACATCCATTTAGACCTAATTTTAATACAACTAAATAAACCTGAGCGCGCTTCGTGCACTTTAACCCGAATCTTCAATTCAGTATATTTGTCATGCCTACCAACGGCATCTTGCTATTCTAATTAAACCAACCAATTAGAGTCATTTTATCTTGGCTTTAATCAAAGTAAGTAGCTCATTTTTTAAATACTCTGAGAAAAAATTCAATCCAATTCAGCTATGGAGCACTGCTAAAACAGCAGTACTGCCACGTGCATTGTCGGTACAATTGAAACAGCGTAAGTACACATGCAGTTTTGGTAAGAGTGACATTGGAGGTAGTCAAAACAAAAAACTACATTTTTTGACCTAGGCTATGTTCCACAAAGGCTGCAAGTTTAAGTTTCGTGAGCCGTGGCAACGCCACAATCTTCCTAGAGAGTGCAACATCCGACATCTAATTCTTACACCTGTGCAATGGCAAGTGTTGACAAAGTTTCTAAAGCTATTGTTGATGCAAACCGAGATCAAACAAGGGTGAAAATGTTCAATGGTCGCTATCACAGAAGCTGTCATATCGGGTTAAAAATGATACGATCATTTTAAACGTCTTAATCTAAAAATACTACATAAGGGCACGAGAATCATATCCAAAGCACGATTTAATACAATAACGCAATTCGTAGAACGATTTAGTACAATAATACAATAACGTAATTCATATTACATGATAAACAAAGATGTCTAAAAGGTCTGAAAAGCTAACGGGATCTCGTGATCACGGCCTAATCATACAGTATAATTGACATCGATGTTCGGTGTCGTGAAAGTGACTACATAGTTACATGCAAATAAGAATCCAACTTACCCCTTTCGCCTTGCCAGCTTCTACGGCTAACCGGGCCTTCTCTTGTATGACTCTTGCCAAACGACACAGCACTGCGCCATTGTCGAGAACATCGAAGAAGTTATCTCCCGATATGTGGTCGACATCTGTAATGAGTTTCAGAGAAAGCATGTTAACACATAAAGATCAACTGCGAAGATTGGTATTAGTGTGGCATAAATGTTTCATACATGCAGCGAACCAGGTGCGAGTGGCTTACAAATTTTAATTTTTATTTTTAGAAAATGAGTTTTTCTAATAATTAAATTTATTAAATAGTTGTACTCATTAGTTGAAGTATGGAAACCATTGAAAAAAAGAACCTCGTCTAACTAAGCTGCCCAGTCAAAGAAATTAAGAAAAACTATACATGTTCAAAAATTGATAATGGTTGTATTTTTCTACCATGAAAATTGTATTTCCGTAGTAATCGAATCATGATCTTATATCAATTTTCGCAAAAGGAAAATTTGCAAGAGAGAAAAAAGCTACTGTGTACCTACATCTTTTTTACTTCATAGTGAGAGCTTTTCCTTACATTACAAATAAAAAAAAAGAATTAGTGCCTCACGTTATTTCTGCAGCTATGTTTTTTTTTGTACATATGAATCTATAGCTCGCGCTTTTTTTTAGTCGAAACAAAGCGTAAGAACGTAAAATTTTTTTACTTTAGAATTCAAGGGTGATCTCACTGACTGTATTTAGTAAGAAAGATGTAAGTACTGTTACGGTTGCCTATTTCGCGAAATTTTCCAAGTTTTTAGCACTTAATAAGAAAAAAATTTTTTTTTTATCTTTATTTAGTTATTATTAATTCCTCAAATGAAATATGACATTTTTGAAAACGCCATCAGCTGTAAAAGTTTCTGCTCAATCGATTAGTGTGAACTCAATTTTGTCAAAAATATCACTTACGATTTTTTTTCAGTAGGACGGCAGAGTTACAGCGGGAACGCTCGAAATGTATGAGATTTGAATATTTTTAACCTTTTCGGATAATGTACTTTCTACGTGAGCATAAAAAGTTTGACAGAAGCTGAGATTAAAAAATTAGTAATCATACATATTGTACCTTGGGTTCAACTTTTGGTCATTAACGTTCGAGCGTATTTAATATTGATGGGCTTATGTTATATTATAGTAAGCATAAGCACAACAAAAAATTATTATCTAACCACACAAATAAGATGTCAACTATTTTACCCATTATAAAACAGCTATTGTTAGTTTTTATCTTATAAATACGAAAGCTCTATGGTCTCTACTAGCACTATACTGTATTTTCGCTCAAGCAATATGGAGCATCCTAATCTTTTAGATATGTCTCGCACGTTCAATCTATTGAGTTACGATGTGACATACAAACTAACACTTGGTGATATCAGAAGTGCCGATTTGGTCGAGTGGTTCCCAAAGATTGAATCGAACTTGGCGTTCTGTCGAGTGCCTCTCGGACGAGAGCCAGGCATTCAACTGAAACGACCAGTGATGCTCTTTTTATCATTGGACCATTGTACAAATCTTTGCGTTCATGTCTTCACCGTAGTATTTACGATAACATCATTACAAAGAGAAAAATGATCCAGAATATTATGTACTTTTTTTATTCTTCAACAAGACTTGTAATTTTATAACAATAGACTTGATAACGCAAGACACTGCACATTATACTTTTTACAATAAAGTACTTTCGATTGGAAAAATATTCCCATAATTTAACAGTACAAAGTATCAATATTTGGAAACATGCTTCATCTATGAGCTACATCCATACCATAAGAATCACTGGAGATACAAAATCACAGTGTGATCGAAGGATGTAAGTGAAAATTCAGACAAAGCACCTTAACAAGTAGGTATTGGAAGACAACGATTTTTTCCAGCAACGTCTGACTGATGCAAAGCAACAATCAAGTTCCGCATTCAGGAAAAAAATCCATTCACAAGCGTTCATCTCGCAATGAAAGAGGCGAAGCATTTCTTGCACAATGTGTAGAAGCAGAATTGCAATACGACGAGACCAGAAGTGGCCCTTTATCCAACCATAAACCTTTCGTATTGCGATTCCAAGCTCCAATTACCCGGTGCACGCTCACCCGTTACCTACACCGCATGTCGCAACAAAAATTGCAGCGCAGCGCACCCAGGCAGAGGTTTTAATATTGTCCCCCGGAAAAAGTAGAGAAATATTTCCTGTTTATCCTAGCGAGGATGCCAACGATCAGGACTCTCTGTGTGCCAAAGCTGCACGAACTACAGTACGAATATAATAGCCTGAGTTCTCGCGCAACTCCCAAGAACGCAATCCGTATATGCACCATACGGTTAAAGATCGATGGACAGGCGAACTAGTCCGGTGACAAAGACAAGGATGTCCAGTACGGATCGGCTATTGGGTGTATCGCAGGTACGATTAGATTGGAAGAGATGAAAAAAAAGCCGCTCAAAGGGAGTACGTACCGCTCCACTTCACGTTTACAACGGGCTACACGTGGCCACTCAAGTCGGCACGCACACGCGAACACAGAGCTACATGTGCCAACGATCGACCAAGCCTGTACAGACACACACACACACATATCACGGTGTTGAGTTCTGCAATTAATGGCAAGCCTTGCGCGCTCAAGCGTGAGAGACGACTAGTAGTGCGCTGTCGCTGTATGGCTTTTCTTTGTACACTTGTACCGAGTGCCGAATTAAAGTTCCGTTAAGCATTACTACCGCTGTTGAATATATATATACAGCGATAATAGTGGAAAAAAGCACGCATACCGCGCGTACGTGGTCGATCATACGCCGCGAAAGCGAAAAATGATAGGTAGTGCAATAGCCTGTTGCTATGTACCCGTGGCACGATAGTATTCTCGTCGCTTTTGTGCGCAATTAGACACGAATTGCCGTTATCTCCTAAGCGATGACTCCACGGTCGGTGAGCGTGAGAAAATTGAAAAATTTGCGACTGGGATGATAGATTGCATGAGCATTTGTCGAAAATTCAGGTTTTACAAGAACCGTGGCAAAGAAGAAAGTGATGAGAATCCATGAAAAACGATGGGAATAGGTGGACTTGTATGAATTCCATACATACTCGAATTTTACGCAGTTCACGTTGCTTTTCTAGATCTTCGTGGGTTTTCCATCGGGTAACGCACAGATCGAGCATAGATAATCTTAAAAATGCTATAGTTGGATATAATTTACCAGATTACAAAAAACTTCAATACAATTTTTTCGCGGGATAACTTTGAAATATTATGGCATTTAACTCAGCAAAAACTTATGTAATCTCCTCTTTCAAACTGAATCAGTAAAAATTGGGTAATTGATTTTTAATGAATCTAATTTTGGTGCAATAGTTGAAGTCACTAATCTGGAATTAATAAAAATGTACGGTACTGAAAAATTAATGACTGATCAGTACAATGGCAAAGACCGTTACAGCAGAGGATTGAGAAAATTGACAGGAAACTAGCTGCACCACAACAGGGCAATGCGTTTGTTACGTAATTTAATTTGGTCGGTCTACTTTGAATAATTATTATTTCGAGGCTTCCGAGCAACGTTTTATTGATGGTGGGAAGATAATGATAAATAAAAAAGAGAGACTAATAGCATTTACGGCTTAAGTTGCTTAAAATCCAAACGAATCACGAGCTGTATCAAACCGGTTGTCATCCTGCATCAGCAGTGCCGCCATTCGTTACTATATCTAACCACTACTCCTAACACTGTATACCGTAAAATGTATATTTACAGAGGATACAGAAAAAAACGTGATCGCCGGTACAAAAAAGGAGGCAAACCGGTAACTGCAACTGTTGCCAAAAAGACAAAAAAAAATTAAGATACACCTGGTGCTGTTTATAAACATTAGGAAAGCTGGAAGGGATACAGAAACCCACTTTCAAGCTCATATTCAGTGAATAAAACGGAGTGTGTTACACCAGAGGACGAGGGGGTGGTGCACCCAAGTAGGAACGCGATACCTATACGGTGTATAAATAACGTGATGGGAAATAGGAACTAGGCTCGGCTCTCTCGGACTCTCTTTCGATAGAGCAGCTCAGATACGAATGGTAATGAGAAGCCCCAGAACTCTCTCTCTCTCTCTCTTTTTCTGCCTCCCGCACTCGTGACTCGACGAGCGACAACAATGGAGGGGTTGCTGCTGCCGCTTCGCCTACGGGAATATAATCTCGCCGCCGGTGGCGTTGCGGCTGTGTTTTTATCGCAAGGTTTCTTCAACTACACCATCACGTGCCTATACATGTACACACCAGGCTCGGGGCAAAGTTAGTTTGCTAGTAAAAGCACCGGCGGTGGTGGCAACCTCTCGTGAAATAATGGCTGTCTCTAACGAAGTCAAACTCTGTGCTCGAGATACGAGAAGCTGTGTCGTATGGGCTCGCCGACGGCGGATTTTCCCGGAGAGTAAGTATATAGCTACGAGGGTTGTTGCCGTTGGTCGGGACTTTTTTTTTTTTTTTTTTTTTTTTTTTTTTTTTTTTTTTGTGTGCGACTAGGTAATGTAACTGCAGTGCGCAGGACGCTGCCCTTCTAACGCTGTCAGCGATGAAAAGAGCGAAAGTGCATGTACCTATAGGTATATAGGCTTATATATGTGCGGCTACTGTGCGAGTGCAAAACAGCAGGAAAAGGCTTGGGCGCTCGAGGCACGGCCCTCTTCATGTGAGCGGGGGCAGAAGGAGGTACTTGTATAACTCGTTGTATACCTATTACGTGCACTTATCGTTATAAAGTTAAGGGAATTTCGTTCGAGTGGTGCCTGCCAGGCAGGGTTGAATGAATTGCTGCGTAGGTACTTGTTTTATTACGAGGTATGGTATTTGATGGATTTAGCGGATGTTTTATCAAATTTTATCAGAAAAGTGACGTAGGGGTGGACATGAAACAAAGTTGATTGAAAACTTTAAAAAATACGGATATTTGCCTTTGGTTTCAGTACATAATATGTTAATAGTTAAAACAACTGTTTTAGAGTGAAAAACGCTGTAGGAATAAATTAGTAACTGGTTATTGAAAAAAAAATTAAAAACTACATGTTTTCGGTAAAATCACCTTAATTTACCTATAAAATACCTATCTA